TTGGGAAGATGCCTTTCATGACCCCTGACCAGGGACAAAGGAGTCTCAGAAAGCTCTGGGAACGGGCTGACTTGCCAGCTGAGAACATGCAGAGGGAATACCCTGTCTATCTGGTTTCAGAGGGTGGGGTGTCCTCACCAATCTTCTATTTCTAACCTGTCTCAACTTTTATGGGGCCCCTTTCCCTGACACTTTACCTATTTGGTTGGAGAATAAAATGAACAGGAATCTTCCCACAACCCACCCTTGTCCCATCCATCTCTCAGGCTGTCAACACCATGATTCAGCCACCTTTAATTTGTTTTGAGGATTTGCCATAGTAACCACCTTGCTTTGGCTGAATTTCAGGACCTTCAAAAATCTATTCAAACCAGAAAAAAAATCAGGGCCCAGTGAGGGGAGCTAGTTCCTAGAAGATAAATATTTTCTACTTGCAAATGAATCCTTGGATCATCTATGCTTCTGAATGATGTGCCCTGTGTCCTCACCTTCACTTTTGGATGGCTTTTTCTCCCTCTCCCACAAGCACTGGCTATGGACAGTGATTATATTGCAGACCAGAACAAGAGGAACAAGAAACTGCTAAGGCAGAGAAAGGAAGAGAATTGGATTGGAAAAATATCTTCTCTCACTGAGCGGGTGTTGTGATAAGGCCATAGTTGAATGAGGGAACATTAGAGAATTGGGGTCAGGCTACACAACCTGAGAGCCTCCACCCATGAGAAGGCCATGAGTGAGTAAGGCAGGTAAGAAACCATCTTTACTGATGGGCAAGGTAATGCATGTGCGACAGGGAGTCAAGGTCCTGTGTAGCTAGAGGCTGACAGTCAGACACAGCACAGAATTTTTCTAAGGCCAGGTTGTGAGACTTGAGGACTCTGGAGTCTCCTCAGAAGGTACTCATGAAAAGTTGAGCCTGCTCTGTCAGGGGTGATTGCAGAGGTGCCTGGACTGGCCACCACACCAACGTCTAGAGAAAGGAAAATGCCCAGAGGGCCCACTTGCGTGCTCAAGGCCATCTCCTTTGTTTCTCTAAACCCTTCTTGCTGGTGTGAGATTTCATTTTGATGCTTCTGCTCCAACAGCCCAGCTTCTCAGGATAAACTGCCATCCTGGTCTGTTTCAGCCCAATTTCCTCCAAAAGTGTCCCTTACCCCACACTAACTCCACTTGCCAGCCCACCTCCCCGCATCCTCTCTCCTCGATCCCTCCTGCTCCTAGGCTGGGGCCAACACCACCTGCTTGATTTATGTGCTATCCTCATGCCCCTACCACTGAGGGTTGGCTTCTATGACTGATAGGTGACAGTGGGGCCACAGGCTCTGCAGATAACCTGTGGTAAGGAAACCAGAGATCGGTTACATGGCAACCAGGAGAAAGGGGAACTCAGCCCAGAGCCTAGGAATCAGAGACATCAAGCTTCAGATGATGGAATATGATGGATGGAAGTTCCAACAGATACTGGGCAGGGAGCCCGCAGGATGTCAGGGCAGGGTAGAAAGGCACAGCAGCTGAGTGGGCAGGGACAGATGGTTCCCAGACATGAAGCAGGGTGGCAATGTGGAAAGAGTGTGGGTTTTGGAGAAAAAGACCTCATAGAATCCTGGCTCCATGTACTGGCTCTTTAGTCCTGGGTTTAGCATGTTTCTGTCTTAGGAATAACAACATCCTCCTCTGGGTGGTGACATGCCCAGCCCAAGGAGGCTCTGGTCCACAATAGGCACTCCATAAACATCAGTTTCTGTTCCCTCCCCTCAGACACTCGTATGGTACTCTGGGCCTGGAGGGTAGGACAGGGTCATAGAGATGAAGCTTCACAGATGGAGAAAAGGAGTAGAGCCTTGGTCAGGGCCAAGAGGCCTCAGCCTGCTCTAGTGGACCGCCCAGGTGCCTCTGTGGATTACTGAAGCATAAGGTGCCTGATAATAAGAACCCCAGAAGAGTGATATGCAAATTAAAATTTGAGAAGCATTGGTCTAGTCAAACCATCTGTGCAACTCTTGAGTCCCCTGTAATAACCATCAGGAGTTTCTGAGTGTGTTCTCAAACACCTCCGGTAATGGTGGACACCCTATCTCTTAAAGCAGTCCTGCAGTGAAGGTCCTTCATCTCACCTTTGTCCTCAGCTTTCTCACTTTTCACCTCTTATTTTCACCCAACCATGGTTACAGGACTCAGTACCTGTAACCCCAACAGTCAGCACCCCAACCCCAAATTCCTGAGAAACTCACTCAAAAGGTCATGGGTCAATCCCATTTCTATGAATTTTCCTCCCAGATATTATTAATCTTCCTGCCTGGTGTCTTTTAAGCTTGGCTTTCAGCACTATAGACTTTCATCCCAGCCTGTCAGAAGGCAGAGGGGGGCCAGCCCAGGAACACTGCAGAACCCTTAATCTCCTAGGCCCTGAGTCTGGGCCTGGGCCTCCCACCTCTGGACCATGCTCTCCTCCTGGGTGTGCAGCTCACGATGATGCAGTCAGATCCAGGAGCACTTGTTGCCCATGAACAGGAACATGAATGTATCTAAGGCCTAGGCTTGCCATTTGTCCCCTCCTGCAAGACAATGGGAAGCTCAGGCCCAGGCCAACAGGCTGCTTTCCTGACACAGCAGCATGAGAAGCTCCCTGAGTTTGGATGGCACTTCATGCTTCGGATGATCAGGAACAAGTCTTTGCCCTGTCGGTCCTGATGCTGGCTGGGTGTGGGAATCCAGCAAGAATTGTTATGACAAGTAGTAACATGCAAAGAGCAATGGATCTGGAGTCAGAGGCCCAGGCCATTTTCCTTCACTGACCCTTTTCGAAGATTGGTTTCAGCACAGGTAAGTGAGGCTTGAGATGTCAACCTCTGCATATGTTCCCCAAATCCTCCACCAAGTCCTGCCTGGTCTGTAATCCACATCTAGCCCTGTCACTCTGAGGCCTGCCAAGGTGACAACTCAGGTCCTCTCTCCTGCAGGAAGTTCTACTCTGTCTCTAGCACATTGGTCCACTGCTCAAGAAAACAGACTCAGAACTCAGGAAAACCCTGCCCACCTCAGAGACCCCCATGAGCCTCGGGCACAGAGGGATGTGGGAGAGTTCTCCACTCCCTCCCCAGGTCTGGTGATGAACTAGCAGTGTCCTGAGAAGCAGTCTTCATCCCCACAGATGAGAATCTAGCATTTCTTTTAAGCCTCTTGCCTGGAAAGTTTGTTTTGCTATCCCACCTTAGTCCTTACTGCTGCAAAGGCTGCAGGGGAACAGAAGCAGCAGGTATGTATGGATCCTTTGCTAAGGAAATGGCAATGTCTCTACTAGTTATGAACACACACACACACACACACACACACACACACACACACACTTGTCAATTAGAGAAACAAATTTGTTGCTGAATCTTGATCTGCCCTCCTTCTTCTACTCGCACCTGCTAAAGGATGGTGTTGACTTCCAGATTGAGGGCAGCCAGGAGGCTCTGGCTGATGGTCACCTTCTGGCTGGTGGGGGTTGAAGCCTGGCTCTGTGACCTTGTCTTAAGCCCTGGTCACTTACTCTGAAGTTCTATCCACCAAATCAGCCCATCCATTTCTTCCTCCAGTCTCTGCACCTTCATTTTTGGAAGACCCCTAGGGCCCCAAGGACTTCCTGGCTGAGGTTTCCAGGCTCATGCTGGTCACCAGGGAATCATCCCATCTGTCCTGCTTACCTTTCTCCTCACCACAAGGCAGGACTGGCCGCCACCATAGTGATTTCAGAATGAACAGGTGTTTAGGGAGGCGCCAATTACAGTCTCTGAAATTCACAGTGTGTCCTGACTCCCAACTCACTCCGCTCCAGTTGAGCCTCAGGTTTCAAAAACATGTTCCCTATCTTAGCTTTCCAGCAGAGACACCCAGAGTGTGAGGTCCCACTAGCTCTATTCTCCTTGGGCAACCCCCACTTCCCACCTGCCCCAGGAGGCCAGGTCTCTGATGAGAGAGGAAAGGATTGAACAAACACAGATACCTGTCTGCCAAGCCCCCATCTTCCCCCTTGAAAATGCCCCACTCTCAGAAAGAAGCCAAGGTCCCTGTCGGGAGCAGGACCAATGCTGACACTGGACACAAACCAGGCTGCACTCACACTCTTCCCAAGTTTCTCCTTCCCCCTTTCTCCTCCCAAACTCTGCTCCATACTCATCTCCCTGCCACCCCAGTGGTGTTCTCAGCCATGGGAACACCATGTCCGCCCTGAGAGCTTCTTCTGTTTCTGCTCTGCAGGGAAAATTAACCTAGAATTAGGGGCCACACTGGCAATATGCAGTGGTGTGCTCTATGTGACCGTGTGTGTCTGTGTAGTCTGTTGTGTCTGCTCTTGTGAGCAACCTAATGGAGTCCATGTACACAACTTGACCACTCAGAAAGACCAAGCCATCAGAGTTTGCTGTTTATTGAGGATGCGAGAAGAAAGGAGAAGTGAACAGGCCTCCTCTTCTCTGCTTCTGGGTGCAGAGAGTGGAAAAAGAGACCCTGAGTCATGCTTGGTTTCACTCAGAATAAGTGGTGAGTCTGAGCCAGGGTGGGGTGCGGACTAGGCCTCTCTTGGTTGTTTGTCTTTCAGTCCTTCTTTTCTTGGACAGAGACCCAGCTCCTAGCATAGTCAGGAACCTGGACAAAGGCCTTATGTGAGAGGGGGTCTTGGTCTGACATCCAGGGGCCAGATAAAGTAGTTAGCAGCTGAGCCAGAGGCTAGGGCCAGGGGCTGAGCTAGTGCCAGAGCTGGTGCCATAGCTGGTGGACCACAGCCAAGGAGGTGAATGCTGGTTGTGTGCAGGGAGGAATTTCACCAGGTTTAGCCATCCACACCTGCCCAGGCTCAGGAAGACACAGGTTGGGAGAAGGGAGGTGGCCAAGGCCAGAGCCTGAGGTACATCAGGGTCTGTGGGATGGGGCTGACAGTGGGCTGGGGAAAGCACGTGTGGGAGCCAGAGCCCCTGCTTGGGACACAGGGGTGGCAGGAGGGCACCAGGTCACCCTCTCTACCGACTAGCTTTCTTGGAGGGAGCACCCAGGCTGGAGCCCTTCCCCAAGGTATCCCTGTAGTCGCTGGCACTGCCTCGGCTCCGGCCTTCCCCGCCACGGACACTGCACACTCCAGAGATGCAGCTGCTGCTGTTGGCCACGTAGCCGCCACTGACTGAGCTGGGCCGGAAGCCATAGCCACTGCTGCCACTGGTGCTACTGATGATGGCTGCAGAGGAAGGACGGGTCAGCACCCCTCAGCCAGAACTGGGGGAACTTTTTGGAGCCATAAGCTGAGTGGGGGCTCTAGTCACAGATGACCCTGCCCCCAGGGGGAAAGTATTCCTGAGACAATTTTGGCCACGTCCTGCCCCTGACTCGCTCAGCTTACACCCGATCTGACTGATTCTTAACTCTCCAAGGCCCATCTTTGTGGTTCAGGCACCGATGTATCCACCCGTCATTCTTGACACCTACCGCTGCCCTTTCTATTAACTTTTTTTTTGTAAAAATTCACATCCTTCAACCTTTCCCTCCTGCTAACAGCCCCACAGATAGCATCTTTTAGAAGTTCTGGTTTAATGCTCTTAGCCCCACTGAGAAACGCGAAGATACACCACTGTCAGCTCTATGATCAAGGTCCCCTGTTCACTAACTCCAGCCCCCTCCAAGTCTCCAGGCCAGGCCTGATCACAACTTGTAGACGTGGTTCCTCAAACCTCACATATACCTGTACTCACTTTCTTGCCACATGTCCTTTGTTTCCCCATCCCCACAGCATATCCCCCTGTTCCTAGCTGCCAGCCCTTGGGAACAGGGAGACAGAGTGGTAAGGAGTGAGGAACCCCAGGCTAGGAGTCAGGAGGCCTGGTTTCTGGCCATGCTTCTGCTATCTAGCTCTGTGATCTTAGGCAGAGTTTTTCCTCTCTGGTTCTTAGATTGCTCATCAACATACACAGAGGGTGACAAAGCCCCTTTTTGGTCTGCAGATTCTACAGCTTTAGGTCCAAACATACAAATACTTACAGATGCTGACAGGGGAAGGATACTCTCCTGACATCCTGTTAGGAAGAGAAATAAAATAAGAGCAAGAAATCATGCAACACCACAATCTATACACCTCAGGGCTAGTGCCAGCACTGGTTGATGTGGGCTTCTAAACCCAATGGGAACTTTTGGAAATTCCAGGTCTTCTTTGGCACAAGCAGAGCCTAAGAAGTTAGGGGACTACCCCTGAATTTTTTTATAATCAGGCAGCAACCCAAGTCAAAAAGCAGTTCATGTGAGGTGCACATGTGAGGGGGGTACATACACTTCCCAAGGGCCAGGCCTAGGCACTGAGCCTTTCTGACTCCCAAGAACATTGGGGAAGCCAGAATGGAACAATCTCCGACAAGCTCATCTTATACCTGGTCAGGTAAGGAAGATGAAACAAGAAGACCTAACATGGTAATGGGTTGTTTTGTGGGGTGGGGGAGAGTGTGCCTAGGTATACCCAGGGAAGTTGTGAAGACTGGATGAGTTAATCCACGTACCAATGCCCGGTACAAAGTAAGTACTCATGCCTGTGTAGGAATCGTTAATAGCTATTATTATTCCTGTCATCACCACTTCTTCACTCCCCCAAAACTCATCTTTTTGGCATTAGGGTGTGTTAGGGTTTCTCCTGAGATCCTCCCCAAACGCTTGGGACTTTCCTGCCAGAGCACATCCCCCCTCACCGGCATTCCTCGCTCTCCAGCAGCTTGCGGTAGGTGGCGATCTCCATGTCCAGGGCCAGCTTCAGGCTCATGAGCTCCTGGTACTCCCGCAGCATCCGAGCCAGCTCCTCTTTGGCCTGGTGCAGGGCACTCTCCAGCTCGTCCAGCTTGGCCCGGGCATCTTTCAGGGCATTGTCTCCCCGCTGCTCAGCATCAGCAATGGCCGTCTCCAGGTTAGAGGCCTAAATGGGGAATTGGAGAAGTTGGAAAACTTGAAGGGGTCATTGGAGACCAAATGTCCAAATACCACTCATTCTCTGAGATTCTGAGAAGAGTAGCCCATCTCTACCCTTCACACTCCTTGGCCCTTGTCTAGGCTGGGGCCTGTTCTGCCACTGCCAAGTCTTTCCTGAGCTCTGTCTCCATTCCCTTGTACTTAGACATTGGTGGTGAGAATGAATAGTGCATCCTGCCCTCCTGAAATGATGGCCAATTCACCATCATTTCAGTTATCACAAAGACACTTACTTGCCCTTCCTGCACCAAGGACACAAAATGAGCAAGTCCGATTGGGTTTCTGCTCTGGAGTTGTTTAAAGTCAGGAAAGAGAGATCACTGGAATATGGCGTTACAGGTACAATGACAGTGGCTAACCAGGTGCATGGACCGCAGATGAGAGACACAGGGAAGGAGATTCCCCAGGACCAAATCTTATTTCCCAAGTGCTTACTGTTCACCTGAGAGACACTTGGCCCTTTACCTGCCTTTTATATACCTTAGCTTATCTAGTCCTTATAAAACCCTGTACAGTGAGGACAAGTGACTTTCCCAACATCACAGAGCTACTAAGTATAAAGATTGTATGAGAATAGAAAGAACACTGGACCAGGAGTCAGGAGACCCTGGATTAGATTGCAGCTCTGCCATTCACCAGCTGTGCAGCCCACTTAACCTCTCTGAGCCTCAGTTTCCTCATCTGTAACAATGGTGACACTTGCCTCAGAGTCTTTGTGAGGATTCAATATGACACAATGATAGTAACTGTGGCTATTGTTATTATATACATGCATCTTATCTTGCCACCTACTTAGGCTGAGGACTCTGTATAAATCTATAATAATTTAACATAGAAGGCACTTTAATGGGTGCTCTCTGAGCCCACTTCTCCTCAATCACGTAATCAAGAAATGTTTGTTAAGCTGCTACCAGGTACCAGGCAATACACTAGATGCTGGAAAAAACAGTGGGGAACTAAGCAGCCAGCTCCCAGCCTCCTTCCAGTCCAGTGGGAAAAGGGACAGGCAGGGGCAATTATAGAAGTGTGACAAGTACAGGAAAAGAACGGGTGACAGGAAAGCACACTGATTGGAACAGAGGGACAGAAGACTGTGGTCTGAGCCCATTGTGGGGGTTGAGAGAAGGCATCCTGGGGGAAGGGCCTCCTAACCAGAACTCTTTGTTCTGAGGAGGTATTGGGGTACTCCAGGGAGGTCTGATTTAAATGTTTGAGGCCCCTTTGCTTTCATGGGCAGAGAGTGGGCAGTTGTCATCCTTGGCCAACTCATCTCCCTGTCAGTTTTTCCACATGCCCCAGATCAGAGCCAATCAGACCCTTTACCTGCTTCTTCACATTCTCAATCTCTGAGCGGATTCTCTGGATGAGCCGGGTGAGCTCTGAGATTTCATTCTTGGTGTTTTTGAGGTTGTCCCCATGGCGGCCAGCTGCCAGCTGCAGTTCCTGGAACTGGGAACCCCCAGAGCACAGAGCCAAAAATGAGCGTGAGAATACATGATGTTTTGGGTTGGTGATGTCATGGGGCAGGGCACATTAGACACTTAAATGAACATTGCCTCTGTCCTGGGAACAATCAAGCCCATCCCTCACACTGGCTGGGGTTGCCTCCTCTGGCCAAGCTCACCTTGGTCTGGTACAGGGCCTCGGCCTCAGCCTTGCTTTTCAGGGCGATCTCCTCATACTGGGCCCGGACCTCATCAATGATGCTGTCCAGGTTCAAGTCACGGTTGTTGTCCATGGACAGGATGACAGATGTGTCGCTGATGTGGGACTGAATCTGAGTGATCTCCTTCAGGAAAACAAGGATAGTTTCAGGATTTGACTATCAAAGGCTAAAAACTTTCCCCAAGGAAGGTGAGGTGATGTCAACTTTGAGGCTTCAAACCAAGGGTGCTGCTCCCTGAGCATGGAGAGTTCCCACTGGGCACTGGACAGATTCCCGCCAACATGAGGCCAGAGCCTTGTCCATTTCCTTCCCACCCAGAAGGTGGAGACTGAGGAGACTCTTGGGACTGAGTTGGGAGATGAATGACTAATCTGAGGAGGCTGCTTGAGGGCAAGGGCCTCCATGCCCCTCATAGCCCCCAGAATAGTTTTACCCACTTGCTGCCCTCAGAGGGGTGCAGTAGAAAGACAGACTTACGGCTTCAAAGAGACACTTGAAGAACTTGATCTCCTGGTCCATGGAGTCCACCTTGGCCTGAAGCTCCACCTTATTGGCATAAGCTGCATCCACGTCCTGAAAGATTCCCCAGCCACCCCTTGGTCACTGCCAGAGCAGCCAAGGAGGCAACAGCTGCCCCATCCTGGGTACCCCGTAAAGGTATGTGGCCACCTTCTTCTCTTTGAGGGGCCCATGGAAAAGGAGAGGAAGGAACATCCTGAGACTCTGCTCCATCAGCAGGGATGGGGGCCCCCTCAAAGGAAGGGAGCCCCAGCTATTGTCAATCACCCCTATGATGTCTAATTAGACCCCGAGGCTGCAGGGAAGCCCCTGGTGTGTCATCCTCTGCTGTCCTTCACTATAGAAAAACCCATCCACATTGAACATCAGGAAGGTGATCATCCTCCCTGCCTTTGTATTCTCTTTTCTGAATAGTTTTTCATCATGGTTCCCTGTCTTTACCTCACTAGCTCTGAATCAGCTCACTTTCTCTGAGAGCAGAGCACACTGCAGACTCAGCATCTCCTGGTTCCCAGCTAGACTCGGACTCAGGGCCTGCCTTCCCCTCACCTTCTTGAGCAGCACAAACTCATTCTCCGCAGCTGTCCGCCTGTTGATCTCTTCCTCATACCTGTGGGAGTGACAGTGCTTAGTTAGTTAATATGTCTCACTGAGAAGCCTCATTTGCCCAAGGAGGACTCTGTGTGAGGGGTAATGTGCCTATCAGAGGGCACGGGTGATGAGAGGCTGTGGAGTACTGGGCAGGTGAGGCCAGCCAGGCAAGCAAGGCTTCCTGAGGGAAGGAACATGCTAACCAAGTTTGGAAGAAGGAGACTGTTGAAGATCCAGCTTCAAAAATGAGGAGAGAGCAAGTAGAGTGAATGTACTATGGTAAAATTCAGAGGAAGCAAGAAGCAATCTCCTCCCTCAAAATTTGAAATAAGCCTTACAAATGAATGGGAGCATTTCTTGAGTTACTCTTCATAGCAGTTCTGGGAGGTAGATGGATTTAAGCCCGTCTTTACCAATGAGGACACAGAAGCTTGGGAAAACTTGGTAGTTACCCAAGGTTTCCCCCACCCCAAAGCTGGAGTTAATCCTCTGACCACAAACCAACTAACTGAACTGCATATTTGTCCTAAGTTCCAGGCCAGAGGCTGGAAGGGCAGAGAGAAAGTTCCAGAGTTTTGTTGGGGTAATTCTGCTTCATATGATGAGAAACACTGCCCCCAAAATTTTAAGCTGGGGTAGCTGCCAGGGCCCCAAAGGAAGAAGAAATCCAGAGGTACAGAGAAGTTGTTGAGCTACAGGAGTCCCCGTCTCACTCACCTCTTCTTGTAGTCCTCCACCACGTCCCTCACATTCCTCAGCTCCGAGTCCAGCCTCACCCTGTCCCCAGACAGCGTCTCCAGCTGCTTCCGCAGGGTGCTGATGTAGCCCTCGTACACGGGCTCCAGGTTGTTCTTGCAGTTGTTCAGGTCCAGCTGCTGTAGCAGCTCCCACTTGGTCTCCAACACCTGGTTCTGCTGCTCCAGGAACCGCACCTAAAACCAGAATCCCAGAAACTGTAGAGCCCTCACAGAAATGGTCACACCTGTCACTCACAGAGCACTGTGCAAAGTTCTCTACCACTCACAAGAGGTTCATGAGGTGGGCAAGTCCTTAACCCTATTTAATGAGAGGAAACTGAGGTATAGAGTTTAGCTTTTCTCCAAGATCTGATGGTTTAGTAAGTGGTGGAGCCCAGGACTGAACCCAGACATGGGTCTCCATCATTCATGTGTCCAATCATTCAGCACCCACCATGACCAAACCAGTACAGTGCCTGAAGGTGCCAGGACAGAGTCAAGCTGAGTCCATCTTTGGGAAGGTTGACCTCACCAAAGAATGGGTATGCTGTTCATTTTACAACACATCAGACTCAACGAGGCTCATTAGGCCAAGAGCTTCGGCTACTCTAAATATCTGTAAGGCCCCAACCCCACTTTGCTCATGACTTCTTCCTCCTCCCCTCATCCTGCTCCTCAAAACCATCTTCACTAGGGACAAATGGAACTTCCCATGTCACTGTGACCTCACAGGGGTCCCTGAAGGGGTGGATCTGTACATACCTCTCATTTAATTTTGGTGGGGCACTACTGTTTAAATGTGGTTGATCCCCTAAAGTCAGAAACACAGGATATTGGAAAACTGGCTGGGACAGTTTGGGGGATTATTGGGATGGGTTAGACACCAAATAGCTTACCTCCAGCATATCAGCCAGCATTTGGTTTGGTTTAACCAGTCCTGACTTTTTTCACGTATATCCACAAGGCTGAGCATTAGCCACAGAGTAAATCCTACACCCAGAACACCACAATACATATCTGGACTACACTACTAGACACATCTATATCACTGATAGGACGTGCTTATCACACAACCTTCTCTGGCTGCCTGGTTTATGGGATTTTATTCTTCTAGAGACTAAAATGGTTTGGGAACTGTCCATGCCTTTGAGCCTGCCTCCTCCTCACCCCAGTCAGACCACTCTTGTTCATTGAAGTAACTGCCTTGCGTTCATCTTTCTTTCCATGTCTCCAGATTTCATCCTTTAATGGGGTTTGGCCAGCCCAGTCAAAGGGCAGTCTACTCTAATCCCCCAGCCCCAAACCTCAAAACACCTTGATCTTCCAAATGTGAAATGACTTAGAGGAGTAAGAATCCACAGAGATGGTGTTTGCCCCTGAGGTGAGCAGAGGTAGGAGGGAATTCTCCTCTGAGCAAGAGTTGAGAATTGCAGGGAGTTGGATGGGGCAGGGGGGCGCGGTACAGCTAAGCGCTCATGGCTGCTGACCATCTCAAACATTGGCTTTGTCTTGGCTTGACCTGTCCTTGGTGCCTCATTGTCATGTAGCCAACATAGCCTTCCAGTCCCCAGTATTGGGTTTGGAAGCAGGAGACTGAACATTTAACCTCACCTTCTCTTCCCCAGATGACCCTGGGCATGGCCTTCACCTCCATGCTTTTGCTGACTCATAAAATGGGAGCAATAATTTCTTATCTACTGAGAGTCAAAGGCCTGTCTGGACTGGATGATCCCTTGAGGTGTGTTCCGGACCTTTGATGCTCTCCTTCTCCATACTCTTCCCTTAGCTCTCTAGAGATTAACATGATAGTAACAATAACCATCTTTGGAGAGTATTTAGTATGTGTCTGGCATTGTGACAAGATCTTCACCAGCATTTTCTTTTATAAGCCTGACAACAATCCCAAGAGGTAGGTTATTATCTCCAGTGTAGAGATGAGAAAACAGAGGCACAGACACGATAAATAACTCCCTCCAAGTGCACAGATGGTACATGATGGGCCAGTGTGGAAGTCAGGTCTAACTTCCCACTGCACTATTCTGCCTCTCAAGAAAGCCCCCAGAAAGCCAGAAAGCCTGACTGAAACAAATGCCCTTGGCAGAGCCATCTGAGAATGACCGTGCACTGATGCCCTGAACCATCAGTCAAGTGACCAGTGGACAAGATCAGCTGGCCATGGATGGGAGGACAGCTTCCCTGGACATCCTGGGGCATATTCCCACTCACTGGCTTTTCTGCACACAGTCTTCATGGGCCCAAGCTTAGCAATGGTATCAATCTTGCCCTTGAAAGTAAGAAGCAGGGTTCTTCCCTTAGGTATTCCTGCCACTCACTGACCCGCCTGATAAGCCTCTACCAGTAGAGGCTGACCTGTCTCTCTCTTTTCTAGGGAAAGGCTACACAAGGACTCTTACCCAAGTTACCCTAATGGTAGAAAATGCCTGTCTTATCCACAGTACATGCCTCTCCATATCTAATTTCCATCCCTCATGCTGTAACAAAAGCTCACATTCCAAGATGTGACGCTGTTCACAGGTTCCCCAAGTCCTAACAGACCCACCTTGTCAATGAAGGAGGCGAACTTGTTGTTTAGCACCTTGATCTGCTCCCGCTCCTGGGCTCGCACTTTCTGGATCTCGGGGTCCAGCTCCACATTGAGGGGAGCCAGGAGGCTCTCATTGACAGTGACCTGGTGGATGCCTCCAGGTGGGCACACGGTTGGGCACACAGGTCCCAGGGTCACACTGCCAAACATGCTACCAGCAAAACCACTGGCCCGGCCCCGGCCAAATCCATAACCTCCGCTCTTTCCGCTGCCACTGGCCACATTGAAAGAGATGCTCCGGGCACCCCCCAGGCTGTAAAGGCTCCGACTGCTGAAGCCCCCACTGAGCCCTTTGCCCCCTGCCCGGTAGGAGGGCGTGCTGCTCCCAGAGAGCACAGCGGAGCAGCCGCTGAAGCCCCCCTTGGTGGCAGCTCCTGACTTGCAGGTGAATTGGCGGCTCATGCTGCAGTGCAGGTGGAACTCAGTCACAGGAGGAGCAAAAGCAAAATCCCACACGGGTTCCACAGGTTGCTGTGAGGACTGAAAGGTGCCCTTCCTTATATCTGCTTGGCACTGGAGCTTGTGGATGGGCAGTCGAGAGCTTAATTCATGGGTTTGGCTTGCCTGGGAGCAAGAAGTCATTTTCTCTATGCTAAGCTAAAGACTGAGCCCTCCCCACCTCTGAAACAACATGAAACCTTCAAAGTGCTGGGCTTGCAAGCCTTGCTCATCTAATTTGGGTCTTATCTAATTAACCTGCTGTTATAGGGTAATTTGCCCCAGGCCCAGCCTCTCCAGGGGGGTGTCATTGGCCCTTCACCATCCCTACCCTGATTCATTTTCTGTGGGTTGTGGGCTATGGACTTCCTCCTGGGGGCTTAGGAGGGTGTGGGGAGGTGGACTGCTCTGGACAGAGTGGACCAAAGGGTAGACCATCTGGGGACTCCAACCATAGCTGTGTCCTCCTCCGTCCCAGAAAGGAGCAGATTATTCAGGCATTCACCCCTCTCCCTCTCCTCCTGGAGGCATAACCCAACGATGGCCTCTTCTCCTAACCCACGGAAGACAGTAGCTCTCTCTGCTGGGCTATAATGGGTGGAGTGACCCTCCCCCTGGCATAAGACATGAGCAGCTTGGGCCAGAGTCAACCATGGACACCATGGTTGGGAGGGCCACGTGCTTCTGCAAATTCCCCAGGGAAAGGGGTCTCCACACTTCACTTCTCTCAAACTCCCATAATAAGGCAAGGACAAGTGATGTCCAGTCCTTCAAGCACAGGACAGAAGGATGGAGTTGGGGCAGGTGACTGAGAAATTCAGGGAGTCAACTGGGAGGAGGGATGGCATGACAAAGAGAGGCTCGCTCAGGGCCTGGAGGTTTCAAGGAAAGACTCTGGAGAGGAGATCCATTTCATCATTTCTGTCTTTCTTCCAGTGTACGAGCATATCTGCCAATAAAACTAGGGGCAATTTGAGGACAGGAGCCATCTGTTCAGAGTTCAAATAAAAGAAGCTGCTGTCAAGGTGAGACCAAATTTTTATTGCCCCCAGGAGTGCAGGCCTCCCCAAGAAGGTGGCCCAGTGAGCACGGTGCCATCTGCTCCAAATGGCCCTGTGGTCCCTGCGATCCTTGCCCCAGATTCAGCCTGCTGTTCCCTCCATCCTGTGTCCCTGGCTCTGGGGATGGGTCCTGGTCCTCCCACATAACAGCCATTGCTGCTGTGGTCCCCTTTTCTCCCACAGCTAATGCTGTCCCTGGAGATCGCCCTTGCCCCAAAACCCCCTCTGGGGCTCTATAAGTGTGCTGCAACTCTGGGCTGGCTGTGGCCACAGGAGAAAGGAGAATTTGGAGCCAGGCTGGAGCAGGGCTTTCTGCCATTTCATTTAGGAGTTGACCCAGAATCCATCCCCTCCCTGTCCCCAGCTCCCCTCCTCACCTTTTCCCCTGCCATTTTGTCTTCATGGTCCTTATTGAAACCACCAGAATTTCTCTTTTCTATCTTCTCTCTCCATCCCTCCTCATCCCTCCTCTCCATCTTCCATCAATCCTTCCCCTTCTCTTTTGCCACCTCTTTACCTATTGCTCCACGATCTGCTCTCTTCCCAGGAGTCTTCCTGGGTCAGCACAGCCTAAGTCTGAGCTCCTCTCATCCCCCTCAGCCCTTAGCATGTTATCAGAATGTGCTGGAAGGGCAGTGACTCTGTGGTCAGCTCCCACAAGGCTCCTCTGGAGGCTGTGTCACCTGTCATTTAGTTTTTCTTTGTAAATGAAGTAAAAGGTTCTCAAGACCAGAGACCACCTAGTGTACTCCTCCCTCCCTCTCCTAGGTTCTGCCTTTAGTAAACCTCTTGAGCATCAACTATGTGCCAGGCATGGTGCCCCATGCTGTCGACCAGGAGTGTGTGATATAACACTAAAGGTGTTTCACAGGTCTCTGAACCCAGTCCTCACGCAGAATCCCCTCCATGGCTTCACTGGCTGTATGTCTCCTTGACTTGCATGACAGTTCCCCTGCCCAAACTTCAATGTCTGCAGCTGCTGCCCCACCCTTGCCCCTGCTCTTGCCAAGGACATCTCATCCACAGACCTCCCCTTCAAATACCTCCAAAATTTTACCAAACAATTCCTGCCCAACCTGGAACACCTTCTCTCCCCATCTCTTCTGACCCAATCCTTCTGCTCTTTGAAAATCTTATTTAAAACCCTGGATTTAGCCCCATCTCCTCTCCTTTGTGCCCTGGACTTCTTTGTACATTGACACCTGTGTGTGGGCTATGCATTCCATAAGGCCTGGGCCTGGGTGAGCATTTTGTGTCCCCCAGATGACTCCTCCCTCTGTGCCTTTGCTCAGAGCCCAGGACCAGTCTCTGGATTCCCCTTCCCCAGGTGTGGGAGGGCTGGCATTTATTGGTGTGGCAAACAAACAGCAGGGAGAGTGTATCTTCAAGGAATTGTTGGGCCAGCACCCACCTAGAATGGAACCAGGAAGGAGCTCAGGCTCCAGGAACTGCCTGTAGGGTCTGAATTCCACTCCACCACCCAACAGTTTTACTTTGCTTAACCTCTCTAAGCCTCACCTTCCCCAACCATAAATGGGATAATAAAGTCCTCGTGGGGTAGTTGTGATGATTATATATGTTAATCCATGTAAAGTATTTGGTAAGTGCTGGTACATATTCAGTATTCAATAAATATTATCAATGACTAAAAGTAGAGAAAATAGCAGAATTTAGGGATCAGCCTGTCTTCTTGTCCTCTCTGCTTCCTTTCCCCTGGGGAGGGTGTCTGGATCAGCCCATTCCCATGAAGTGCCATCTGCTGATACAGGACAAAGAAGAGTGTTCTTCCCAGAGGTCTCAGGCTCAAGGAATCTCTCCATTCAGACCATTACTGATCATGAAAAGTTCTCTGTTAGGAACAACAATAAAGCCACTGTGGAACAAATGCTTGCCAAGTACAAAACTCAATAGGAAGCACTTTTCAAACATTAAGTCTCTTGGTTTGACCCATTCATCAAATATGGGCACTTATTGCTGGGCACTTACCAAGTGCTGAGAGGCGGGCAATGCAAAGTGTCCTGCCCTCACAGTTTCTGGACCCCTCCATATACAGTGTCCCTGGGGAAAAAAACACCTCATCAAGCCATTAACAAGTCATTATTGCCTTAACATGAATTAGTTAATCAGATACTGGCCATTAGGTATGAAGCACCCAATGTTGTTGATGAGGATGTTGATAGAACAGAAAGGAGAGTTCTAGGCCACCCACAGGAAGGGTGGGCCAGGTGGGGCTCCTGGGGTGGTTGCTGGAGGGCAAAAGGGAGGGACTAAAGGAAACCAGGGCAGGGCCACAGTTCACCAAGGTTGCGAAGACCTTTCCCTGGCCTTAACTGAGATTTGGGGAGACTAAGGGCAGAAAGAGGCAGAGCTGCTTGATTTGAGAGGGCTCTGGTACTGGCTGGGGAGACAGGATGTGATCTACCAAATCTTAGCTTCATTTTCCCTTCGTGCCCTTCCATGGATATCCCAGCTTTCTAGTAGGAATGAAATTCTAAGCGACGCTTCACCAGGCATGGAAATCTGGGCCGCAGTTTTACCTGTTTGTGAAACAGTGGAAGGAAGTGTGTCAGATAAGTGTCAAACCCCCAAGCTCCCAGGAACATGTAGCCTGGACATTCAAGAAAAAATTTAAATTGTATATTAAATAAATAAACATTTTGTATGTCTTTTGGTTTTATAGCCAAAAGGTTTTATTTGGTTCACATGAATTTGTGGATTTCTTTGTATTTTTGACCCTATGTCTGTGATGATGATCACTTTGACATGTTTGTTGCGACCCCTTGGCCCCATTTGGGACCCACTTGCCCCTACTCAGTGTTCTGGGGTCTGACAAACCCCCAGGGAAGGTCTCAGAAAAAGAAGCGTGAGAAAATCTAGTACAATCCCATATGGTACTTGCTGAGTGGGAAGAAAAGGGAATGCCCAGTAGAGAGGTAAGACCTAGAGACGCTAGCACCACGGGGCTGCCTACAGGAGGGGGATTAAATTCGAGTACCGTACAAGAAGAAGGCTTGGGTGAACTGGCAGTGAGGAAATGTGAGAACAGCCTAGGCTGGCAGGAGGAAGGGCATTGAGGAAAGGGCTCTCCAGGCTGAAGCAATCATGAGAGTGAAGGGTAACCATGGGGGAAGGACCCCAGGCCCCAAGCAGTACACAGGATAAGGTAAGTGGCAGGGCTCATGAGCCAGGCAGAGTCTGGGCCATACATGCTCTGGGAAGCAGAATCTAGCTACTGTGTGGGGGAGGAGTAGTGGGGGTCAGGAGAGCCTGGAGGCACTGAGAGAGGCAGATGGCTCTCTAAGCAAATAATTGTCTCCAAAATTAGAGAGAATAAGCTGGGCTATTTGGATGACATCAGCTCAGGTCCTGCCAGCCCTCCTTAGCAGACCCGGGAAATGAATAGGTTGTCTGTGAATCCCCATAAGTCCCCCCTCCCCCTCACCCCCCCCATCCTCCTGTAGTTTCAGGCAGGCAAGGGTGCTCAGCCCCAAGCCAGATGATGGATGGAGCACAGTCCCTGAGGGACTTGGCCACAATCAGAACCACTCATCCGGGGGCAGTACGACTGTTCAGCAGGTTTACAGCTGACAAGACCGAAGGTGAGCTCACCCCAGAGGAGCTGAATATAAAGGTCGGAAGAGGGGTGTCCTGCCAAGCATTCAGCTCTGCTCCCCTCCTGCAGTTGACTGCCAGAGAGGTGCCTTCCAAGACAGCCCCACCCCATTGCTCAGCTCTGTGGCTGGAAGCACCTCCTTTGAGCTTTGCTGGCCAACTCCTTACTCCAGGCTCACCCCAAGCCTCTGGCAAAGTGTATACCCTTGGGACTCTGAGGACCCAGGTCCTGGTCCTGCCACATGACCATGGGCAGGTCTCCCAGCTTTCTAAACCTCTGTTTCCATATCT